TGGCAATGACGGGTGATTTGGGTAGATCTAAACAATGGCATTATCAGTGTGATCTTAGGTGCTGTCAAGTCAAGTGGGGATTGGAACCTAGGTCTTTGGAGTCCCCGTCTATCCCTCTATCCACCAAACCTCTGAGTTTGTTTATTTATCAATTTATTAGACTTGTCTTCCACCCCATTAGTGCAATGCGTTATTCCGGGGAGTTTACATCAGTAAAAAAAAATATTTTGTGAAAGTAGTAACCCATATCAAAGCTGAGCTGCACTCTTAACATGGGAAGGAGATGACTTTTCCTCAGCCGTGATATCTTGTTCTAATTTATATGGGGGGGATTAAAAGGGATTTGTTTTGCTTTTAATTTTGGTTTATGTCCTGGAACAGGCATCCCCTGTTGTGATGCAAAATGCTTCCAAAAGTTTCACCTTGAATGGCAATTAAAGGCCAATAGCTTTATAAAAGATCTGTGCCCTGGCAGAGAATAGAAGTGCTGGAAGAAGTTTACTGATATCTATTCAGCTGCTCGCATTAAAAAAAGAAAGTCTCCCCCAGGGACACAGTCCAGAGCATCCACCCCTAAAGTATAAACTTCTTTAATACTCAAAATCTGGTTTCAGTTTAGGCTTAAATTTAACTTTCAGATTTGTTGGTAATGAGGGCCGATCCCCATTCTTTCTGTCTGCTCTTGCTCCACTCCTCTCATAGTTTCAATATCTCATCAGAATGATAATTTTGGGGTTTCACTGTCCTCATCATGAAACTCTGAAATGCCCAGGCAGAGAGCCTTGGACCACCCAAAAACCTTTCCTTTCAACCAGTATTTTAATGGTCAAGGAAAGGTCTTGCTACTTGCTATAGTCTTGCTATTTATAGCTACTTGCTATAAATCCATGGCTGGTGTCCAGCCATCAACAATCCTGCCCAGATGTTGCAAATATAACATTGTGGCTTCCATTATTAAGTCAGTCTATCTCGCTTCAGCTTTTCCTCTTTTCCTGCCGCTTGCCACTTTTCTCCCTCTCTCCTGGATTGCTTGTTTCATCATTTCCTCCTGATACACCCAAAGTATGATAGCTTCGGTTTAGTCATTTTACTTTCTAGAAAGAAAAAAACACACCCTGATTTGGGATTTTTTGCTCCTGGCTGTATTATGGCACCTTTAAGACCATACGAATTTTATTGTCAGGAGATTTTGTAGCTTAACAACTATTCATTGCCCCCTGCACTCGCCATGAACTAAGCCAAAAAGAACGAGGATTTTATCCGCAAAAGCTTGCCATCTGCTTCATTTTTAGTGGTCCAACGAAAGGTATCACCCACTCTATCCTTTGTGCAATCATTTAAATAAATAAATAAATAAATAAATAAATAAATAAATAAATAAATAAATAGAACTTTGGAGAAAGGTCCTCAGAGTAAACTTTCAAAGGACTATTTAGCATAAATCTCTTTAACAATAGTATTATGAGTCAAGTTTCCTTCCGTGGTG